TTGCCCCCAAACCGGTCTTTTCTTCTTCTTGGGCCTCTTGATTAAATCAAAACTCATTTTCACATGCAACCATCGTCTGACCAAAAACATAATCCTAGAATTCATTTTACTTGGTCAATGGGTCAAAGTTAAGAAAAGTAAAAAATTTAAATTTTGGGTGTATAAGTAAGATAACCCTCATTTACATGATATTTTTTTTTGTTGGTCTAGTGTTCAATTCATGTAAAAAAAAAAAACCATGTAAATTATCAATTTAGACTTGACAAAATTGACCTTACATGGATCGTCCATGACAAAATTACTTCGGCGACAATTTGGAGAGAAAAAAAAAAAAACCTAACCACATGCGACAATTTGGTAAATAAAAAAATTCAGGCAATATTTACGCCAAAAAATCTAATGTTTTCTGACAAACTTTTCAAAAATCCTATTTTAATTTGTTTTTGTGTTTTTTAAATTTATTTTTTCCATTTAAAATTTTAAATTAATATATCATCCCTTTATATTTTGCTAAATCCCAATACCAAATTTATTTCCAACCCCCTTTTTGGTTATTAAATTTTGCTAATAAAGGGTAGGAAAATTAAGTGGAAAGTAATATTTAAACAATTTTTTCTTCAAATTGTCATTTCCTTAAAAGGGGTTGGAAAATAAGGTGGAATTTTTTATTTCTTTAAAAAAAAAACCAAGAAAAACAAATTAAATTAAGCATTCGCAAGTAGTTTGTCAGAAATTTTTGTATTTTTGAGGTTAATTGTTACTTGTGATTATTTATTTTTACCAAATAGTTGTTTTTTTTTTTTTTTTTTTTTTTTTTTTTTTTTTTTTTAATATCAAATTGTCGCTAGGGGCCTTTTTTTTATTTACTAACTAGATTAGCTCCCTGCGATGCACGATTTCTACAATATTTAAATAAAATATACTTTGTATTTAGTAATTAGTACATACGCTTCATAAAAGGTATAAAACATACCTTTTATGAATGGACTTCTATGCTCAACTATCTTTGCATAACACATTATAAGGAATTGTTTCCAAGCTTAATTAGATTACAATAACTTAACCAATCAAAAAGTTCGGTCTCTTTCATTCTAATAAGCATAAAATTAGTTTGTTTCAAGTTTTAAACCCACCAATACAACAACATACTTCGTACCAATTTACTTAACAACCACCTCAAATATTCATGAGAGTATATTGAACAAATTTTGAAGAATATAGGAGAGAGAAATACGAGGAAAGAAAAGACTGAAAAATCCAGAAAAAAGATGATATTTTAAATCTAAAAACTTGGGAATAGTTTTTTTTCTACCCTAATAGTAGGAATAGCCGAATGTGAAGATAATTCAAAAGTTGGAATATTAATAAAATACTCAAAATTAATTGGCCAGAATTTTTGATAAAATAGAGTAGATAAAATGTTGACATCATTTATAAAATAGGAGGGAAATTTTTTAATGAGAGTTTGACACGTAGGATAATGTAGAGGATTGATGATGTCAGCATGTTTTGTTTTAGTAATAGTTAAATAAATATGACCAATTGACCGTTTTTAGGGTTGCCAAACCTTACACTTTTTTCCGAGCCTAACCGATCGGGTCAGGTCATTGTTGATCACCTCTAAGCCATCAAGTTGGGCCATTATTGATCACCTTTACATGTTAGTATAATATTACTAGATTAGACCCGTGCGATGCTCAGATTACAAAAATTATTGAAATGAAATAGCTTATTTCTATTGTTTATTTTCCTGCATATACTTATAAATTAGATTATAAAAGATATCTAGCTATCATAATAAATTACATGAGTAACAAAATATAATAATGAAAGCCAATCTAATCAAATCAAACCATGTGCATACCAATTTATACACTCCATATCTAAGAGTTCAAAATACAAAATAAAAATACTTGTAATTTAAAGGTCCTAATTTAAATAAATAGAAGCACCTTGGAAATATAAAACAATGCTAACATTTACTTCATAGCATCCTTAAAAAAATAAAATAAAATAATAACATTAAAACCTAAAAAAAAAACTTCGTAGTTACCTAAAAAGTTTAAGCTCGATATCAGTTTATTATTCCAACCAAAAAAAAAAAAATTATTTATTTATTTATTGACACAGTCAAAAGATTGAAATGAAAATGATTAAAAATAAAAAAAAATAACCAATTCCTCAAAAAATATATATATATATATATGACATCATAAGTGCATTTGGCGGGAATATTTTTTATGAGAAAGCGACACATATACAGTTTGGGAGAGAGGATGATGTCAGCAGTTTTCTGTTTTAGTAATAGTTAATAGATATGTTTTGAATTATCTTCCAAATTACTCTTGACATGTAAGTGACAATATCGTCCTTTTGGGCCTTATTTGAATCGTATTAGTTTATTAATATTCAATTTTTATATTTGTAAGAAATGTGTAACTATAGATATTTATGGTCAAAGGCTCAAAGTAATGCCTTGATAAACGTGCACAGTTAAAATGAGAAGAACATTTAGAATTAGAGAGGGTGGTAGTACATTACGAAGCTAAAAAAAATACCCGCTCCGTTTCATAGTAATCACAACACTTTGACTTTTGCATTATTCACTATAACTTTTATCAATATATAACAAACATAGATTGCCATCCATGTGAATTTTTTTTTTGGATTAGTCTTTATGTATATTTTCATTAGATCAAACTTTTATACTACTTAATAATATATAACTAGATAAAGCCCGTGCGATGCACAAATTTTTTTTTTTTTTAGAAAAATCAAATATTTTATAGATAAGTGGCACTTGAATTGAAAGTGTTAAATCTAATACATTTATTTTTCTATGTTGTAATGAAATGTTTTAATTATAAAAGAAATTGTCAAATGGCGCTCTAAAATCTCTAAATTGTCTTGTATTTATCTCATCCATATTCGAGCGTTTTTATTTCCAATCCATATTCATATCCATAATTTTTTTTTAAATCATACTTTGTATATTTTAATGATAAATTTTAATTTGATGAAAATAATCCATATCTTTTCAAAATATATTTTATCATTCTTTTATATTCTTATCCAGATTTTTTTTTTTCAATCCAAATCCTACATTGCGCGTTCAAAAAATAAATATAGAAATATATATACACTATATATTATCTATGTTATTTGATTTTTTAACCCATAGATCAATAATCACTTGACAACCATATTTGTGATAAAAAATAGTACTACCGCTTATAAATCTGTAGGTAGTTTTATCCTAAAATCTATTTGAATTTTATTGAAAATAAAACTTTAAACTAAATTATTATCCTAAAAATTTTTTTTAGATATATCCACTTTTTTATTCTAAAAATTCTATCTAAATAAATCATACGTGTCAGACTAATGATTAGTTGTTACCTACATGGCACGACACTTGATAGAAAGTTGGAATGCCAATATTGATGTCTCATGCCTGGGCTAATCTTACGACTTAAGTTTTGTTGTATCGTGACTTGACTAATTGTATAACTTTATATACGAAGTATTTAATAATGAATGACATATTTTTAAGTCGCTTATTCTAAATGGATTTATTTTCAAGTATTCTTTAACACGGATATTATGATGTAAAAGTAATAAATTAATAAGATAATTATTGAAAGTTATAATTTAATTTTTATAAATTAATAAAGTTATATTTTAATCTATACATATGAAATATTGGTATTTTATTAAATATATAACAATTTTTATATGTGGCACCACACCATATGTCCGGGGTTATTTATTCAAATGTTACTTATTTAAAGGTTACTCGGTCGGTCAGGGGTTACTCGGTCAAGGGTTACTCGGTCAGGAGTTAATCGGTCGGTTAGAGGTTACTCTCACACTAAAAACGCGCTAACCGATTGAGTAACCCAAGAATAAGTAACCCTTGAACGACTGAGTAACCCTTAAATAAGTAACCCTTGAATAAATAACCCGGCCACACAGAAAAAGCACCGTAACTCTAAACCAACAATTTTATCCTACAAAATCTATCCAAATTTTATTGAAAATAAAACTCTAAACTAATTTTTTTTATTTTTATTTTTTTTTATCCTACAAAATCTATTTAAAATCTATTTAACTTTTTATCCTACTTGAAAAATCCAATTTTTTTATCCTACAAAAATATATTCAAATTATAAATTTATTGGCAAAAGTTGAAACGTCAAGTGTCGCTATCTCGTGCCCTGACTAAAAGTTTAGTTTTATATATTAGTTACTAGTTTTGTGCCCGAGCGATGCCCAGATTGTTGGTAAAATTTTAGGTTTGAATGTTGAATATATAATATCGCTTACTTATATAATAGTGTATTTTTTGTAATTTTATTTGTAAATAGATATCAATGTTATAATAAACTTGAAATTTTTTTATTGAACTAAAATTATTTTTACTGAACTGAAAGTATTTTTACCAAACTAAAATTATTTTTTTGATTAAATCTTATTTTTACTGATTTTCTATCATTTTTTAATTTATTAATATATTATAAATGGATCATTTTAAAGAACTTTTTAAAACAAATTTTATGATGGAATAAAACCGAGTTATAGGATATTTATAAAAAATTATGATTAATTTTGTATTTATGAAATATCAGAAGTATATCGATAATGAAATTCTATACAACATTTTTATTTTTAAAAAAACTATTGAAAATTCGCTTACTTAGCATCATGTGTCACAATAATACCTATTTGTCATAAAGGTCGTTGTCTCGGGGCCTGTTTGCGAGATCCGCCTTCATTTATAAGTGATATGATTTGATATTAGATTAGATTATAATTATTAATGATTAAAGTTGTACATTAGCATATAAACCGATCAAAGTGTTGCGATTATTATGAAATAAAGATTAGAGAGGGTATAATACTTAAAAATGTCCGATAAGGAAACAATCTTTGAAGAAAAGAGAAGTGATGAACCAAAAGTGTTATGTAAGAGAGCAACTAATGATAATAATAATAAATTAATAATAATAAGAGGGGGAAAAAAAAAAGCAAGAAAGAAAGGAAAGAGGAAGAAGAGTGGAAGTTGCAATCTCGCAAATAGTGAGGATAGGACATTGGAGGCGGAAAAGATTATGCAAAAGCAGGGGAAGGGAGGTAGGCAATCCATGTAAAAACACTAGTTAAAAATTTACTCCAGGACTTGCACTTTGGGAGGAGTAAAAGTAGTGTATACTTTATATTTTTATAGTAGAAAAAGGTAAAGAGAGGATTAGCCGGAAGAATGAGAGATACAGTAGACTAGCAGCAGCAGCAATTGCAATTGAATTGGTAAGGTAGCTTTAATTTGTCACGGCAGGAGAGTGGACAGTGAGCATCTGCTGCACGGCCACTCCACTTCCAGGCCGGGATTGGTTATATACTTCAGCGGTGTAGGAGTCGAGTCGAGCTGAGCTGAAATAGGTTTCGAAAGCCCAGAAAGATGGGCAATTGCGGCACTAGAGAAGAATCTGCCGTGGTGGCTCATGCTCAAGGTACACACAGACATTATTAGTGATTTTGATTTTGATTGTAGTGTGTAGCTAGCTATATATACATATAGATCTAAGTGTTTGGGGTGTATGTAGTTGATCAGCTTCACATGCTAACCTCATTGCAAGCAGCGGCAGTAGCAGCAGGATCCAAGAAGCAGCATAGGTCTGTGTCAGATCTGAGCGATCCTTCATCTACCCCTCGATTATTGGGCATTGAAGAAGACTCTAGAAAGAATGTCGGACTTTATACAGATGTTATCGCTTTTACACTCTATGAGTTGGAGACCATTACTAAGAGCTTCCGTTCAGACTACATCTTGGGAGAAGGCGGCTTCGGAACTGTTTACAAGGGTTACATTGATGAGAATGTCCGTGTTGGCCTTAAATCTCTCCCTGTTGCTGTCAAAGTTCTCAACAAAGAAGGTCTTCAGGGCCACCGGGAATGGCTAGTATGTCTTCTTCTACACTTTTTTTTTTTTTTTTTTTTTTTTTTTTTTTTTTTTTTTTTTTCCCTTTTTCTTTTCAAGTTGTTATTTCCCAATGAGGTCACAGTTAGCTCACATCTTCACTCAATTCGCAGACCGAAGTCAATTTTCTTGGCCAGCTCCGTCATCCTAATCTTGTTAAGTTGATTGGTTATTGCTGCGAGGATGACCATCGCTTACTCGTCTACGAATTCATGTTTCGAGGAAGCCTTGAAAATCACTTGTTTCGAAGTATGTAATTTCCTCCTTTTTTATTACTTATGTTTTTGTTATCAAGTCTCTTTCTTTTTGATCTTCAAGCTAGGATATCAGTTTCTAGTTTTTATTCTTATAAATTATTCCGACAACTTAAGAGGATGACAGAACAATATCTCATTCAAATAACAAACTTGCACTGATTTGATCTCACTCAAGTGACATACATTATTACCCATTATACATTATAATTGACTACCCATTTAGACTTTCAGCAATATTACCCTGAGCTTATAAGTTTAAAGTCAACCAAACCATCCTATGTCCCTCACTGAGGTCACCTTCAGGATTTCCCATTATGAAGGCCGACTCTACAAGTTAGGTTACCATCTTCATTCCGATATCCACATTGAGGTTACAAGGGGATTTGTCAAAATGATAATGATGAGAGTACAATTGTCAAACTCATTTAGGATTGCATGCAATTGCATCTCTTTGAACTTGTTGCATTGTCATTGCTCAATATTGTATTAATCATGCTCTTCGTCCCTTTTAATTATTTATTTATGTATACATAGTTACTGGACATTTTTAGCTTAAGTTGTTATGGCTTTTCCTGAGGCATACAGAGGCAGTTGCTCCCTTATCGTGGTCTACAAGGATGATGATTGCCCTTGGAGCAGCTAAAGGACTTGCCTTCCTTCACAATGCTGAAAGGCCTGTTATTTATCGTGATTTCAAGACATCTAATATACTTCTAGACTCTGTACGTTTTCTTAACTTTTCTATTTTTATACTGCCTCCATTTTTTTCGCAATTGTTCTATATTTGACTTTCACATGTGCCAATGCAGAACTTTAACAATCATCAAATCTAAATAAATTATCTAAAACCAAAATTATGATAGCTGATAATAATCCAATCTGTCTATATAACTTGTCCCTATGGAATTCACTAACTCATGTCCCTTTTTAATTCTTGCTTCCGCCTCTCATGGTTAATTATCTTCTTACATGTGGCGATGTCAAGAATTACGTTTTTACCAAAGCCCTCTTTCTTCCCTAATTAGAAAGGTTGACTTTTGTTCTGTTCTCTTCATTGTAGCAGAAACTTATTATTTTTGTTAGAATTATAACAATCCAAACTTATAGCTTTAGGTATATTAAGTTAGTTATATGAATTTAGAACAGCCTAAAAAAAAAAAAAAAAAAAAAAAAAAGCTAAGTTAAGATTCTAGAAGGTGTAGTCAAAATTTTATGTTAAAGGAATGTTAAATTTTAGATGGAATTATTATAGATTATTAATTTTTTTTTAGGCTTTCTTAACAGCTTGTAGATCTGGAGGGAATAATTTTTACTGAATGCTGCCAATTGTCTTTCAGTCACTACTTTGGTAGTTAATAAGTTGAAGATATATTTTGAATTATTGAGTATATTTGAAAATATGAGACTTTGATGTTTTGAAAACCACATTGAGACGAAGCTAACTAGATACCATATGATAATCTCTATTCTTAAATGTCAGTGTGAAAGTACGGTAACAATTCTAGAAGAATCAGTCAAGGCCAAAAAAATTAAGACACAACCTTAGCATAGTGTAGACATATTAAGTCCAACTTAATAAAAACAAAGGGGCAGTAGGGAGCCTTCACTTTGCCTCGTTAGTGGGTTTATGGATTGCAGCCCCTGTGTATCATGGTGCTGAATGAAAGCAGGATGGATGGAAAAAACAATGGGGGAGGGAAGGAAAGGAAAGGATAAGGGGGAGGGTCAATCCACCATTGAGGTGGTTAGTGGCTCTGAGCACTGCTGGCAAATGATTGATGGCACTAAGTTTCTTTTCCTTCTCTTTGAGGAGAGAGTTGTGAGTGTGTGGAGAAAGCCAATAGGGGAGGGTGGCGGCCATCAGCAGGTTAGCCATGAGACCCTTTAGTGGGGCTCGATGATGCTGTTGACCTGCCTGATGAAGGGGAAAAGGAGGCTGTTGTGTACAGTGTGACACCTATTAGACTGGGGCAGGGTCTGCTGACTTTTATTAGTTCGTGTTCGAAGGAGATAGGGATGGAAAGGAGATATATATTGATGTGCTAATATATACAACTATTGGTTTGATGTGTCAATAAATGCCATAAATATGTTCCTGATCTCTATCTAGATTTAGGGATGATATTGATGTCAATAAATACCTCATTCTCATATATATATATATTGTCTGTGCTTGGTGCCCTTGCTAGGATTACACGGCAAAGCTTTCTGATTTTGGACTTGCAAAAGCTGGACCACAAGGTGATGAGACCCATGTATCTACTCGTGTGATGGGAACCTATGGATATGCTGCCCCTGAATATGTGATGACTGGTATGTAACAGAGCTCAAACATTCGATCAAATTAAACTTCTGTCCTTCTTTCTTTTGCCTGAGGCTTCTTGTATAATCATCTTCTTACATGTTGGGACAATTGCTACTAATGTCTCCAATCACAATATTTTCTTTGAACTAGAAATAGCTTACATGGGCTGATTGTTATTTCTGTATGGTTCTATGATTTTTATGGTCTTCTTGCACTTTCTGATAATGGTCATTGTGACGTGTTGTTGATGTGTTGCAATTTCCAGCAGAAATACAAGTGTATATATGTTAGTTTGTACACTCATCACTTGGCACTTATCTCGTCTCAAATCAGAAAATTTTATCTGTTTTAATGACAGTAATTAGTACTGCTGTCTATATGAATTTGAGTTTACTGTTGGTTCAAGTTATTGTCATATTAATGGAAATTTGAGAATGATAATTATATTCATGATTTATGCTGTAGTAATTCACAACTGCAGAGTTTGCATTATTCATTTATTTGTATCAGCTAAATTTTATAACTGCAATTATATTAGTGTCATAATTAGTATGTTATGGTAATACCTCCTGTCATTTGTGTATATAACATCCTTAGCAATTTTTATTTTACTAAACTAATGGGATCATTAACTATCAATAGCTAAATTTTATAACTGAAACCGCCCTCCTAATCTTTCATTCTGTCTCCATGTAAACACTGAAACATAATTTCCGTCCATTAGATAAATTTTTTGCGAAGGTTACCTCTAGGTTTTTTTTTTTATTTTTTTCATTAATGAAATAAAATATGAATTCTCATAAATAGTAATTGTGAACTTAAAAAATAACCCCCCATCTTTCCTCAGAACTCATTTAACTCCCATTCCCCTTCGTATTGCTACCTGTTCTCCTCTCCCCCACACTACTCCCCTCCTGCAGAGTGCAGAACAAGGAAGATATTTTTTACCCTCCTATTTCCCCTTTTTTTTTTCCACACTGAGGGTTCTAATTTACTTGGACAATTAGGATCAACTTTTCCCATCTCCAATAAAAGGATCAAGCTATGTGAAAATTTCCCTCACTTTGCTTTCCCTCAGGGATCAAAAGAATGAAACCACAATGTGTCACATGACTTACATCTTACTCATTAGTGCATGTAAAGGAAATTCATCGGAAGTTTTGGGTGTATGTTCTGTGTTTTATCAAGTTTCGTTGTTTCCCCTTGGCCTGTCTTTTCCTTGCTCGTTACTTTATTTGGCCAGGATAAAAATTCTGCCGAATATATAGCTGATAAACTTGAACTATGCGATTGGGATTATCGACCTGGAATTGGCCTGAACTTAGGAAGCAGGTGTGTTAAAGCATGTGTGCTTCCAAGTGCATGAGTGTATCTACTAAACTAGCTCTGGTTCTACTCTATCTAGTTTTTTTCACCTTATGGATTTGCGTATATGTTCTGTGGACCTGAAATCTAGTCTTTTTGCTGGATTGCTAGAGATAGAAAGAAAATGGGTTTACCTACTCCTGGCAAGAGAGAGTTTTATTTTTCATTGTCCTTTTCTAATTACTAGCAGATTTCAATTTCTAGCTAGTTGTACTCTATTCAGTTTTCATTACATCATTTGCACATCATATAAAGCCCCGTACCCCAAAAATGCATTTCATAACACATTTTATTGGAATTGACTTTCTTCATTAGTACGATTGGAGTATGTAAGCAATGGTTCTGATCAGAGTCTATGTGAGCAGGTCATCTCACAGCTAGAAGTGATGTTTACAGCTTTGGAGTTGTACTCTTGGAGCTATTGACAGGGAGAAGGTCGGTTGACAAGACCAGACCAAGTAAAGAGCAAAACTTGGTGGATTGGGCACGACCAAAGCTCAATGACAAGCGAAAGCTTCTGCAAATAATTGACCCGAGATTGGAAAATCAGTACTCAATACGAGCGGCACAGAAAGCCTGCAGTTTGGCATACTATTGTCTGAGCCAAAACCCAAAGGCAAGACCCTTAATGAGTGACGTAGTTGAGACTCTGGAACCTTTGCAATGCAGTGGTGATGCTGTGGGTGAAATATCATCTGCATCCTCATCATTACCGGTTTCAGCCTTCAGAAGTAAGCGTGCTGGTCAGTTCCCTATGAGGGGAGTGCCAGAGTACCCAATACGGCAAAGATTTCCCAGCAATGTTAGTGCTGCAGCTAGTTGTCGTTCCCCCAACCCTAACTGTTCTCCCAGTGGTCTTGCACCTTGCCGAGTGAGATGACTAGAATCTCTTTGTATACTGCTCCTAGTTCCTACCTTACATGCAACATCTAATAGCAAGTTAATCATGACTGGAAATGCCTCTTAATGTGATGTAAATGGTTTTGTTTTCCTTCCTATCTATTGTGCAAATGGCCATCTTTTCTTAGATTTTATACTTTTTTTTTTTTTTTTTTTTTTTTTTTTTCTGTTGGCTTTCTTATTTGCCATCCGTGGTAAGTCTTAATCTTTCCTTTTATGGCTTCAGTTTATTCTGTTTTTCTATTTGGGTGATTAGGATATCGGGCATTTTTTAAGATTAGTTTGGCACGTCTGTTTTTCGACTTTGGGAAATAATTATTACAGTATATTTTCCAATTCAATGATGGACATCAATTAAGTAATTAACTACTACTAAAACAAGTCAACATTGACGTCATTTCACACTCCAATTAGATACTTGTCATACTCCTTAGCTTAAGTTTTTGATTGAGTTGACTCTCAAATATGATACACAGTATTAGACATAGCGTGACAACAAGGTTGCGAGTTCATATCTCATCCACCTTTCATTTTAAGAAATTTTCCACTAGTTTCAAGTTAAAAACTAATATTCTCTACTTCAAACGAAATGAGATTGCGCAAAATTTTAAATGAGTTTATTTTGTAATATTATACGGAGTATGTGTTATGCCTAAATTTTCATCACATGTCCGCGTATTCGCAGGTTGTTAGGTTACAGGTTGTCATATGATCAGCAACCTAGTTCCAGATACTAAGCAAGGTCGAATAAGGACTTTTCCAGGGAATATTCCAAGGATATCTTAATTGAACAAGTCAAGAGAAGGTGCCAAGAATATCGGAACCATAAACCTTAGCTTGCCGTTGATGAAGACTAATTCAAACTACAATAGATAAGCACTCAAGGAGAATGGCGAGGAAGTAGGAACAACCTTATCCCATTAGCCCCGGATTCCATGGAATCTGGAATGAAGTCGTTGAAGCCTTACTTTCAAGTTAATTCTTGTGATATAAATAGGAAACTAAGCATTGTATAAGGGGATCATAAATATTCAGCCTTATTATTCATAGCAATTAAGTATTCCTTAGCAATCCATAGCATCATTATTATCTATTTGTAAACCTAAATTGTACATATTTCAACCTGACAACCTAGTGGATTGGTGGACTCATTGCCACCCGCAGTTTTTACCCTTCTTCCTGGGGTTTTCTGCGTTACCATTTTGTGTCTCTTATTCCCTTTCCCTTTTTATTCGCTCTTTGTATATCTTAGCTTTTATTTTGCATTCCTAGAACCTGCATTGTCACTTGCATCCCTGTTGTCATATAGAGCCTGGTCTTATCAGGCAGTCAGATTTTGACCTAAGCAATTTGGCGCCGTCTGTGGGGACACAGTTAGATCATTCTACCCATTTCATTTGATCCATCAATCATCATGGCTGAAAGTCCCAGTCGAGATCCTACCATGGCCGAAATTGCTGAGCAGTTGCGGGAAACCCGAGAAGAGTTAAGAGTTGCCTAGGAGCAGAATCTGAAGCTCCAGAGTGAATCTCAATCTCATCAGGCATCCTTGGAGAAGCTGAACAAGGAGCTTGAATCTGTCAAGAGCAACAAGAAAAGAAGATTCAAAACTAGTGATATTCCCCAGTTCTCCCTAATTTCATTTGATGAATCTGAAGGGGAAGAAGACGATCCCAAAAAGAACTTTAGGGAGTCTGGTGAAAACCTTGACCCCATGGCTAAAAAGGTGGCTATTATTGAAGCCTAAAATCGAAAAATGATGAAGCTCTTGACCCGGCTACCAGGTGCGCCAAAACATGTAGCCTATGAATCTCGTGATGGATTTGCTGAATCCCCCTTCGTAGAAGAAATTGCTAAAGTTAGAATTCCCACGAAAATATTCCATCCTTCTCTAAGTTGTACGATGGAACCACTAACCCTCAAGATCATGTGGCCTAGTATAAGCAGAAAATGTGGAGCTTATTGAACCCACCATGTGCAAGTCCTTCGGCGCTACTTTATCGGGACCTGCACTCCAGTGGCTGATCAACCTGAAGCCTGGATCAATCAACAACTTCTCTAGTCTGGTGAACAAGTTCTACCAGCAGTTCGCTACCAGTGGAGAGTTGGAAAAGTAGAGCAGTGACCTGTATCGAGTCGTCCAGAAGTAGAATGAGACGACCAAGCAATATTGGGACAGGTTCAATAGAGAGATGGTCAACATCAAGAACTGCGATCATTCGACTGCCATAGAAGCATTCCGCAAGGGTCTCAATTACCGTTCCAGGTTATATTATGAGCTGACCAGATACCCTTGTGCCTCTTTTGAGGAAGTCAGAATCTGGGCAATGACTGAGGTCCGTGTAGAAGAGGACGAGCAAGCAAGAAACCTGGTTGAGAAAAGGCCAGTTGGGTATTCCGGAAACCAATATTCTGGACCCACGCAAAGTAACTGGTGTGATAATCCGAGGCGTAGCAATGTAAGCAGTGTGTCCGATTAAAAAATGGGCGAAGGCTCCAGCAGGCCGGAACCAGAAGACCATCCTGACATCAATTCGTACGGTTTTGATACCGATATAGTTGGAGTAGTCAATGCTCTAAGGAAATTGGGCAACCTGTAAGGTGGCCTAGAAAGAGCGATAAGCCGGACCACCAATAAGATAATTCTAGGTGGTGTGAGTATCATGGAGATCATGGGCATAGAACCAACGAATGCAATGGTCTATAAAGAGAGGTAGCCTAGTTGCTTAAAAAGGGTTACCTGAAAGATCTCCTAGGCAAGAAAGGAAAAGGATCTGAAGTCAAAAGAGAAGCCCTACTAGGTCCGCCAGCTTCACCTCCACCCAGCGTCGTAATCAGCGCTATATCAGGAGGATCTAGCATAAGCGAAATGGCCTATTCCAATGCAAAAAAGATAGCAAGGGTCGACACGTCAGGTTCCAGCATCCCTCAAACCTAACCCAGCAGAGAAGAGAAAGCGTTAGACGAAATGAAGATAATATTTGATGAAAGCAGATTCAATGAGCCAGAACATCATGATTGCCTGGTTATTATCTCCCTCCATGTTGGTCATTGCAAAATGAAAAGGGTGCTGGTAGATAATGGAAGCTCGACTAATATAATATTCAGAGATGCCTTAAATCAAGTCAGGTTCAGAGAGTCAGATATCATCAAGAGGTCTACGGTCCTCGTCAGGTTCAATGGTGAAGCCATGAATGCCTTAGGAGAAATCCAGTTGCCAACCTTGCTGAAGGGCGTCAATATGATGTACAAATTCTATGTGATAGATTTCAAGACTGCTTATAATGTGATACTGGGAACCCCGTGGATCCATAAAATGAAGGCTTTCCCATCAACCTATCATCAGCTGCTGAAATTTCCAAGTCCGTGGGGGGTAGCAATAGTCGAAGGAGATAGAAAACAAGCCAGAGAATGCTACTAAATCGCCATGAAACCCCATGGACCCTCAATCTAGCAATTACAGCATAATCCAACACCGGGACGCCCAGATGAGTTGCAATTAGATGAAGTGGTGTTGGATGAATCCAAGCGAGATCAGATAGTCAAGATCGGAGCAGCATTACCTGCTGATCAAAAGGAAGCCATCTTTAAGTGCTTGAGGGAGAATTCAAATTGTTTTGCTTGGTCTCATCAAGATATGAAAGGAATCAGTCCAGAAGTCAATTCTCACAAGCTCAATGTAGATCCCAGCATGAAGCCAGTGAAGTAGAAGAGAAGGAAATTCGCACCAGAATGTAACCAGATTATAAATGAAGAGGTGCAGAAGCTGCTAGATACCGGAAAGATAAGAGAAGTCAAGTATCCATATTGGCTAGCTAATGTGGTCGTCGTCAAGTAACTCAAAGAAGAATCGAGGCTAGCCCAGATCAGGTACACGCCATTATTAATCTTCAATCACCTAGAAATCTTAAAGAAGTTCAAAAATTGATAGGTAGAGTAGCCTCTTTAAATAGATTCATCTCGAGGTCGTCTGATAAATGTCATTTATTTTACTACGTTTTAAAGAAAAATAAAGGTTTTGATTGAACTGATGACCACGAGAAGGCCCTACGGGACCTAAAGCTCTATTTAATATCGCTTCCTTTGTTATCCAAACCTGCTGAAGGAGAGTCTTTACAGCTTTACTTTGATGTTAGCACACAAGCTGTGAGTGTTGTCTTGGCAAGGAAGCTGAAAGTCAGCAGTTACCTGTCTACTGTGAAAGCAAAACTCTCCTCAGTGCTGAAACCAGATATTCATCACTTGAAAAGCTGGTATTAGCACTAATAGTAGCTTGCAAGAAACTGCGTCATTATTTTGAAACTCACCCAATAGTGGTGAAAACTAACTACCCTATCAAGGCTGTGCTACGCAGACCAGAAATGACAGGTTGAATGAGCAAATGGCCTGGGCAATTGAATTAAGTGGATTCAACATCAAGTATGAGCCAAGAATAGCTATAAAGTCGCAAGCTCTGGCTGACTTTGTGGCTGACTTCAGCCCTAACCTAGAGCAGCAAGCAGCTCAAGAAGTAAAGCAGATCACTCAAATCGCAGACCCAGGAACCTGGACCTTGTACGACGATTGATCATCCAATTTCCGAGGTGCAGGTCTAGGTGTAGTGCTAAAGTCGCCACAGGGGGACGTAATGGTACAATTTATCTTTTGTAATTTTAAAGCTACTAATAATGAAGCAGAATATGAGGCTTTGATTGCAGGAATGAACCTAGCAAGAAATCTTGGAGCTTCTGAATTACAGGTGTTCTGTGATTCTCTTCTGGTAGCAAGTCAAATGAACAGTGAATTTGCAGCTAAAGATTCCAAGATGATCTTATACTTAGACTTCGCCAAATCTTTAGCAGCCAAGTTCACTACCTTTTCCATTAAACAAATACCTAGAGACCGGTCCTGCTCCATCCAAACCTGTCAAAGGTGAACCTACCGAACCTAATATTGTTAAACCTGTAGCAAATCAAACAGCTGGATCCAACCTTCTTTAATTACCTAGAGCATGACACCCTACCTGAAAACAAAGCTGAAGCAAGAGCATTCAGATTCAAAACATCCAAATACATGATCATCCAAGGTGTTCTGTTAAATAAATCAACCAAAAATGTCTTACAACGCTGCATTGAAGAAGATATAGATACGAGCAGATACTCAAGGACTTTCACGATGGAGAATGTGGAGCTCATTTAGGTGGGAGAACTCTAGCTAACAGGATATTAACCTACGGCTACTACTGGCCAACGATGCGTAATGATGCACACAGGTATGTAAGTAAGTGTGACAGCTGCCAACGCCACTCAGGTATCACTCACAACCCCTCTAAACCTTTGCACCCTACTTTGACACCATTGACTATTCATAAGATGGGGCATGGACATAGTTGGCAAGCTGCCTCCTACCCCAGGTTAAAAGGTCTATATGTTGGCTCTAATTGATTAATTTTCTAAGCGGATAGAAGCAGATGCATTCCAATAGGTGAAAGACAAAGAAGTTATCAACTTCATCTGGACTAACATAATCTGCAGATTCGGTGTACCATCTGAAATTGTCTGTGACAACGGATTCCAGTTCATAAGCACCCAACCAGACATTTCTGTGATAAATGGAACATCACTCTCGTTTCCTCTATGCCCAAATATTCACAAGCAAATGAACAAGCTGAATCTAGCAATAAAGTAATCATCGACTCTTTGAAGAAGAAGCTAAAAGCAAGAAAGGGCAAGTGGTCAGAAGAATTGCCAAGGATCCCATGGGCCAACAGAACCACACCAAGGGCAGCTATAGGTCAAACCCCTTTCTCCCTGGTATATGGATGCGAAGCAGTGTTACTTGTAGAAGTCACCACTCCAACAACCAAGTATGGCCTGCTTACTCCAGAGCGCAACATGGAAGAGTTGTCACATGACCTGAATACCGTTGAGGAAAGAAGAGACCTGGCATACATAAGGATGGCTAGTAGTAGCCAGGATGCTCAAAGTAGGAGATTGGGTTCTACGAAAAGTATTCCAGAACACCAGAGAGCTCAACGCAGGTAAACTGGGGGCAACCTGAGAAGGCCCATACCAGATTGACAGAGTAGTTGGCAAAGGGGCGTATAGGTTAGCCGCACCAGACGGTAAGCTGGTACCCAGAAGCTGGGACGCAGTTCATTTGAAGCCTTATCATTTCTAAAATTACCCCCAATCATATTAAAAAAAAAAAAAAAACAACAACAAACAAAAAAACCAGAAGCAATCAGAAACAAAGGTAAAAGTCAAAGCCTATATTATTCAAAGGAACCTAACATCAAGAGTTCAAAGGAAAAAGCATAAAACCTTTACTCCCGTGAGCAAAGTAAAACACCAGTTCAAAGACACCAAAAGTAAATTGTTTAAAACAAGAGTAAACATAAGAACGCAGAATCCAAGCTAAGCCCGAGGACCATCTTTCCCCTATTCAACGCCCTTAACTGGAACATCAACATTGTGACCTGAGTGGACTTCTCAGGATCAAGCTCATCAGCCTTAGCCTCCTCGGAAGCTAGGTCCTTGATAGAACCAATAGAGAGATAGTCATCCACTAGCTGTCAAAGCTTCCTCGTTCCTAGTTCACCAACATACTTGTTCATCAGGAAGCCATTAGCCATGTAGGTGGCTAATGCTTCAATGTTCCTGTTTTCATCCTCTAGATCCACTATCTTGGCATACAGCTGCGTCATCTCTTCTTCCTTTTTCTTCAGATTCCCCTCTTTTTCTTGCATATTTTCCTCTCTTTTCTTCATATCTTCCTCAAACTTCTTCTGCTGTTCCTCCATAGCAGTGTTAAGATCCTTCACCTTTTGGTTAAATGCATCCCTCTGGACCTGCATATCTCTTTTGGCCTTCTCAGTTTTCTGTGGCCTCCTTTCAACATCTTCCATGTGAGACCTGGAATACAAAACATTCTGAAGGCCCTGTTTCACAGGAAAACCCAAGTAAAAAATAGGCACAACCAAAAAAGCATTAACCAAACACTTAGAGCAGGCCAGAAAACCTGTAAAACCTGTTGAGCCCCATCTGCCAGAACAAAGGGACCATCCATGTTAGCCAGACGCTTTTCAGCTGCTAGAAACAAGAGCTTCTGAGCAGCTGGCCATATTCCATTACCAATTCCTCATCAGCTAAGAAATTAGTAGGAAAGCTAGCATCATAAGTATCTGGTATAACAACCGGATCAATGGGGGCATTAGACCTAGTATGATGAACTCGAGAGGGAACATGCATCTCCAAGTTAGATAGAGTCTTTGAAGGAATCTCCTCGATCTGCTGAACTGTGGTATCTGCTGATCCACCTTGAGAACCATCCCCCCTCTTCCTCTTAAGGCGAGTAAGAGCCTCTTCTCGAGACATCACATTAGCACTGTTTCTTGGAATAGCCAAAGTCAATGAATCTCCGCTCCATGTTGAAAGTTTCACAGAAAAAGATAAGTCACAGAAGTATACCTGAAGCCATAGATAAACTAGCAGTTGTAGATGGAATAGGTTAGTCACCAAAAGTCCTATCAGGTACAAGAACCCGGTACAAAGCTTTCACCACTTCTTCTGAACCGTCTTCTGGCTTAAGGGCATCCAAACGTAAATCTACAAAGAATCAAGGTGAAACCCTTAGTTAATATACCTCATCCAAAGATAATAAAACACATAAGATTAAATGACTACCTTTATGCCAGCCGCTTCTTATCCACCTTCGAGATTCCCCTAAGGAATCTTTCATAACAAAGAAAAACCTTGTCTTCCATGTTTGATCTTGAGTTTCATACCCAACAATTGGGGGAGGGTTAACTGAAGCTCGCTTGTAAATAGTCACCCTATCTAGATCCTTTTTCCTAAGTTCATAGCATCTAATAAAGTCAACTGCATTCATCTTCTCCTCCCAATTGGCTGTAATTTCATCCAGCCTACTCATTACCCTCCAAACCGCAGGCATCAGTTGGCCCGGACTTAGGTCAAAAGTCTCCAAAACTTGCTTGGCCAAAGGGGAAAAAGGATAGGTGAATACATTCCTAAAAGGGAATTCATAGAAGACAATGTTGTCCGTACTGCAAAGCTGCGGCCTGTCCTCAGGTCCAGGTACGATTAGTACAACAGACTCAGGGAACCCAACCATCACCTTTAGTTCCTTCAACTCAGCCTCAGTAATTTTGCTAGCTTTGTCCTCATTGGCCTTCCCCACCTTACTTTGATTCACTCTCAAGTTCCTATTTAAGTGTCTATGACATTTTTTCTTAGCAATGTGCTTAATTTTTACCATAATTAAATCGAACTTCGCAACAGAAAACAACGAAAATAATGAAATCAAAAGAGCAAAGAGAGTAATAACGTACCATGGTAAAGAGAATTTGCAAAGCTTGTCTCCACCACAACAAAATCCCAGCTTAAATTGCACTTCACCGCTGTCGATTTGGTTTCCCCAATTTTTGCAAAAAAAAAACCCTAGATTTTTTGATTTGAAATTATCTTGAAGTATTTAACTTGAGGAGACCTTTATCAGCCTTATAACACGCATTGAATGGGCCTAACGACACAAAGTTATCTTTTCAAGGGAGTTTATCATTTGCAACGGATTCAAAAATTCGCACTTATCTTTTGATTTGATAATTTTTTCCGTTATTTATCTTAGCTTATCTTTTTGAGTAATTAAGCTTGCCTCGTAGAAGTCACTAGAACATCTAAGAGTCAAGCTGGGGGCAAACTGTTATGTAAAGGTGGGCAGCGTGCCGGGCCGTGCCTGGCGGGCCATGGTCTCCGCGGGCTGTGTCGTGCCGTGCCACCGTGCCAGAGTCAGCGTGCCGGCCAAAATCGCAGGCCAGCCCACGGCACGGCACGACCCATGTGCCGGGCAGGCTCGTGCTGTGCTGGCACCGTGCTGCCTTGCTTTTTTTTTTTTTTTTATTTTTTTTATTTTTTTAAATCTTTATACTTACTTTATACTTTTATAGTTTATACTATTATATTTCTAAAATAAATTAAGTTAAATATTTATATTTTATTATTTATTATATTTAATAATATATTTAATTTATACTATTACTTTATAGTTTATATTTAGTTTGTAATTAATAATGCTTATAATTTATTATATTTTTGTATTATTAATTATTAAATATTATAATTTTTTTTGTTAAATTAATTTACAAATTATAACTTAACGGGAGAAAAAGGCAAATTGAACTTTGGATGTGAATAATGCGTACTTCATATTATTATTACTTGAAAAAATTGTACAATGATAATAATAATGATAAAAATCGTACAAGGATATTAAACAAAAATTGGATAATGATAAAAATCGTACAATGATAATATTGATAGTGATTAAAATCGTACAATATACAAATATTGTCTATTCTTCATCTATTCTTCTTCATCTTCTTGTTCATCTTCTCGTTCAAGGTCATCGGCTAGTTGAATAAATTGGGAACTAGCCGAACCCGAACGGCTCGAGGCGGATGTTTCGGCTTCGTAGTCGTTGTCCTCGTAAGAACGGTCCTGTGTGCGATTTTTAGCATCCAACCAATCCTTGAAACACATGCACATTTCAAGTGTTTCGAGTTTTAAACTT